AGTAGGTACCACTTTAACAAATGTTTGGTGATTTAACCGAATATTTGGCTGAATACGAATATTCGGTAAAGCTGCCGATTATGCCAAAAACCGAATATGAAACGAATATTCGGCTCATCTCTAGTTAAAGGTTAACCCTGACAAACCTCCTAAATTGAAAACAATATTAAAAAATCAAATACCGGACGTTTACTTCATAATACTAGAACATATTGACATATTTGCGTTTCATTCTAAGCAATTTTTAGTGAAATTTATTTTTATCGTAATTAATTCAAAACGCATTTCCGACATTTAAAAACAATAAAGTGTTACTCTAACAAGCCTCCTAGACTAAAAATATTATTAAAATCAAGTACCGGATATCTATAACAAACCCATATGTGAGGCTATTGAATTAAAAAACACTAATTTCAATAGAGATAGAGGCTGGGTACCTGCTTGGGATCCCGCAATCAATAAAATTAAAACTAAACCCAAGCATACCACTGCAAAACCTTAGGACACTGTAAGTTCATTCTGTCTAAATCAGACTCCGGGTTAACTGACACAAGATTTGACTTTACAATATGGGGCTGACATACTTTAAGTGCATACAAAAGAGTTGTACAGTGTCTTGTTTGGCATGCACTGCTAGACAAATTGGAAAATTTACTGGCGTCAGTCTTATAGACCTCAGTCAGTCTTGACTGAATAGTACTTAGTATGACTAACATTTGAACCATCTCAAACTATCACAATTTAATATGAAAATCAGGTGGGATCTTGATTAAATGCAGGCCATACAAGCTCTAAGCAGGTTGATCTTATTCAAGTAATTTCATGTTTATTTTCATTAAATGTATGTAAATGTAGTTTAGTTTCTTCCGTTTGTTACAGACTTGGAAAAAACTGTCTGTCATCAACTTTGCCAGCAACAATATACAAAATGTTGATTGGGCGATCAAACTGGTGCCGAAACTGCAGCATTTAAGCCTTTCCTCAAATCGACTAACTGAGCTTTGTGATATATCATGCCTTCACGAGCTTCGTGTTCTGAACCTATCTATGAATAGTTTCTCTTTGTGCGAGAATTGGCATGCAAAGATTGGTAACATAGTGAGAATTGATTTGTCACAGAATAAAGTTACTTCGCTCCAAGGATTTTCTCGTTTGTACTCCCTGGAAAGCTTAGATCTTAGCTGCAATCTTATAAATGACATAGAAGAGGTCCAATATATATGTAAGTTACCATGTTTAGAGTACCTGTGGTTAACAGCGAACCCAGTGGCATCTTCTATAGACTATAGAGTGAAAGTCATAGAACAATTCAACACCCGAATGTCTGAAATTTGTTTGGATAACGAAAAAGCGTCAGAGAAAGAACTAGACACTGCAAGGGTTTTGCAGGCTTTGCGAGTTGTGAAAGAAGGAAAAACTCCAAGTTTCCTAGAGAACAGTAACACAACTCATAGTTTTCATAAAAGTTGATGATTAATGAAGCTTTCAAAAAAAAGTTTATTACAAAAGCAATTTATATCACAGATTAATAATTGAATTGTGTATATTTTAGGGAATATAAGTTAAATTAGTTAATTTTTGAAATAGTGACTTGGATTATTGAATCTAAAATGAGCTTTTTAATTTGGAAATATACATACCTACAATTAATAATGAAATTGAAATAATACTTAGATCCAGTGAAATGCACTGAAGTGATCTGCTACCATCGATATTAGTTGATTATGGATAGTTTAAATTACTGTCGTTTATCTTAATTGCCTAGATAATGTATTTAATACATTAAATTCATATATTTTTACATATTTTGTAGCCTTAGAAAATTTTGTAAAATGTAATGTCTGTGACAATTCCAGAAGATACAACTGTATCTGTAAATAATGATGTAATAATAGTTTTAACTTTTTATTTATTTAATGATATTCATTTAAGTTTCAATTAAGCTATCAAGTATTTTAAAATATCCATAAGAGTACAACATATTGGTAATCCAGGTTTCAAATAGTGTCCAACTATATTGGACAATAATGGAGTTTAAATAACATTCCACTTGTTTGGTGGGTGCTTTCCTATAATTGTCTTTAATTGATAATTGTTACTGTTTTTAATATTTTTCTATTGCCAATCTCATCAAATGTGGTATTGGCAGTAATTCTATTTTATAGTGTCATTTTGACCTTAAAGTTGTGATATCAAAAAATTGATAAAGCCTTAGTTGTTATTGTGTGGTTTTTGATGCTGAATTTACTTATGACTTACCATAAGTGACAGAACTGTATTGTTCCATTTTTATGTGTTTACTGTTTTTACGTTGGTAAGACCAAATTGCCCTAACCCTTGGTATATTTATTAGACTTGCATCGAATATTCGACTATTAGTTGGTATTCGGCTACTTTTATCCATTTCGGTCGAATACCGAATACCTAGGTACTGTTCGGATGAATACTGAACACTTTACACACAGGTACATAATAACTTCCATATTACAAACATTAAAGAAAGATTTATCAGATAAATGTCTATGCACTCGAATTATCGTATTTAAAGTGGAAGATAACGGTGCAGAAAGTAAATTAATTTTTCTTCATTTTCAGGGAGTCGTTTACTCCTTCTCTTCTTGTAGACAATCCCAGCTTTAGGGAATAGAGGCTCTGAAGAATAAACTCTAGTTCCTTCCTGGCCGAATACTTTTGCCTAATATTCGGCTATTCGGCTAGGAAGTCCGCAGAATATTCGATATTCGGCGTGTGGCCGAATGTATAGTCTAATATTTATTAAGATTTACTCCATAGTATTAACTTATTAGTATTATTATTATTGTGATTATAAGGTACTTGTTTATAACGTGATGTTTAACCTAAAAAGAAAACACATTGAAAATTATTGCAATTTTTTTTATTCAAAATTATACATCTTTTACAATGTAATTTAATGGATAATTATATAACTATTTAACCCTTCCAGTAATGTAACTTCCCATAATTGAATCTTATATTTTGTGTATGCTACATAATTACATGTGATATTTATCTTATAAATATAAAAGCACAAACAATCCGACCATTCTAATAATCAAGATGTGACATTGATTATAATATTATTAATGCTATACAAAAGTATATTGCATCGGCATCGTTTTTTTATTAGCAGTGTAACTCCAGTTTTTATTTGGTTTAAAAAAATTACCTCAATAATCTAGTTGGTTATGATTTGTTAAATATTTTATAGTTTTAAGATACGTTTTAATATATAAAGCTTACACTTATTATGTAGATTTATACAAATTAAATATTTTTTAAATTACAATAAGAGAAATAAAAAATTAATTAATTTTTTTACCTTCAATCTGTCGTGATGATCTTTTTAGACCTCTTATATGCCTACCATATAATACTAACCAAGACTGGATTTAAGGGAGAGCAACCGGATCTGGGGCACCGGAGCCTCTACAATACAAATTTTTAAAGATGTAAAAAATAAACACTATGATATGACAAAAACACATGTCATTAAAAGTGATTAATCCTACTTCGGATTTAAAAGTAATTACTCTAGAAACTAGTTGATGATTTTCCGTTGAAAGTCCTGGCAACATAAATTTCGTTTAGCTATATAAATTAAGATTGTGTAATTTTCTTTGTATTTTGCGATGCATTTATTCTTATTGGTGTATTTAAACAGGATTCACATCTGGTTGGGCTGTGTAAATAAATATAAAAATGACAAACAATTCTTTTTATGCACACATTATAAGTTCACTGTTAATCATAGGTCTTTCCAAGGATTACAAGTGTAATTTTTTTATATTTCACAAATTCTTAAATATCTGTGAAAAGATTTTTTTATCTTGTTTGAAAAGTTGTTACGGGATGTCCATTTCTTTGTTACCCCAGTGTTTCGAATTACTTTAAATCCGGTTCTCAATATAATTGCATTAAAAACACTACCCTCAATCACTCATTAAATTATAACATCCAACAATTGATAAGTACATACTAACTTTTCCACAACCAGTCTTAAAGTTCCAACATGACGTAAATACTTATTATTATTGCTGTAATCACTACAGACAACGTTAGGGCGTTTATTGATAGCCTCGTTATGAGATATTTTAAACTTATTTTTTAATATTTTATTATAAATCGCACTGGGTGTTAAACTTATATCTAGAAAAGTTACAGGGGACTACGAAACCGTAAAAAAACAACTAGCTAAAAAGAATTTAAATCTCAATTACGTCAACAAGAAAAAAATTATAGTAAATACAAACAATATAGAGTATTAATAATAATTAATAGGGAAAATATTTCTGTAGCCTTTTATAAAATCAAATATGAAACCCAAAACTAATTCAAGCATAGTTCAAAATAACATATTTATTAATGACTTCGAATGAAACAAGCCTATGCTTAAAAATGTGTCTGTCAAGTTGCAAATTGTGGTTAATAGTTAAATAAACAATATAAACACGCTTATTAAAAAAAACTAAAAAAATTTTTCTTTTTGTAGTGTAAGTATTATTTCAACAATCATATTTTATATACCTATAAGGCACAGGAAAGCTTATAAAGAATCTAATATCTTTTATAAATAGAAATTTTTGTGCACCTATAACTGCACTCAATTGAAAATTAACAACGATTAATTGCAGACATTATTTAAATTGAATATTATCTTTGCAAGTAAGGAACGCATGCAGAAAATTAAGTTGAAACATTTTAGATTTGAATAAATTAATAACTTAAAAAAAAAGGAAGAATACTTCTATAAGGACGACAGTTATCAGTTTTTAGAAATGTATGGATGTCAGTTGCGAGTACACGCAAAAATAATATTTTCTTGGCTTGAACACAGAATAAATTAAAACTGTTTTATAAAAACAATCAAAAACTTAAATATGCTAAATCAGAAATGTCAAATTCCATAGCAATTAAAAATTAAGATATAATAAATGTAAAATGTTTACTACATCATTATGTAATTGTAAATAAATGTAAGTCTAGCTTCCCGCTAAATTAGGCAACGTGAAATGCCACCTCTCATCTGTGGTCTGGTACAGGGGTGCTCGAGCCCGGACACCGCTGGCTGTAGGTCTCTGAGATGGATCTTCGCTGAGCATCAATTTTAATACTTCAGTCTGCAAAGATTAATATTACACATTTTAAATTAAACTAGTGGTAATTTATTAAATTTTTAGGTGTGTATATTAAGTAAGCTGTATTTCTTCACTTTTAACTACACATGAATATATAATATATATATATATATATATATATATATATATATATATATATATATATACAGTGGAATCTTTATAACTCGAATGTCAAGGGAAATGCATAAAAAATCGAGTTAACGAGTTTTCGACTTAACAAGAACTTCGAGATCTTATATGATTTAACTGCTGAAATTTCGACTTACAAAGGCGCGATTTCTAAGTATATTTTTCGATTTGTAGAGTCGAATTTGAATAACAATTCAACTTAAAGTTTTATAGAATATATTTTTTTACATATTAAAAACAAATTACATATTAATGAAGTAAACTGTACACTAAAAACAATCCGTTATCTTCTTTTTATTTGAACTCTGCAGATTTTTTATCAATTATTTTTTCAAGCTCAGCCAAAGCCAAAATAAATACTTACGGACAAGCTCCGCTAAAAGTTACCGTGTCCTGTGTCGACAAGGAACAAACATAACGTTCACAGCTGTGTTACTTAGAAAGTTTTATGAATGTATTCATTCATTGCACGTGTCTAAGACAAAAACAATAAATTAGAAGCCCTGAACACAAACATTCATTTTGAATTTTATTGCTATTATTTCGGGGAATTCCAAGTAAGACGTAATTATATTTTACTAACTACAACTTACGGAGTCTCCTTTTTGAAATTCGAGTTATAAAGTATAAATATGCATTATAAATACTTCGTAGGGAAATAACATTTTTTTCGAGTTACAAACTCTAAATAATTCGAGATATCGCGTATTTAGGGGTTCAGCGGAAGGGAATGGTAATTTTTTCGACTTAACGAGGTTGGAGTTATAGAGATTCCACTGTATATCTAATATGCAAAATATAAAATAAACTTTTGCCTTGACACACAATACTGAAAACAAGAAGGGTTATTCAGTTTATCCACCTTAAGAAAACCACCCTAGGGTGGATACTCGGAGACGCGTGTCCGCTTATCCACCCCAGACGGGGTCGATAATCGGAATTCATATATTATATTGGGTGCGTTTGGCAGAAAAAAGCGCTAGCAAGCGCTTATAAGCAAAATGGCGATCGTAAGCGGTAAGCGCTGTCAAATCGTAAGTAGCTATTTTCCTCCAGGACACGATGTTAGTTTTAACCGGGGAACCTAACCTCATTTAAATATATGTTTGTATTCATATTAAAAACTTACCAATCATGAATTTTAATAACATATATATGTTTATTCACGTCATTATTATATTACTTAAAACTAATATTGCACAAAAGAACTTATAAACTCTACTTCAAAACAAACAAATTAAATAAGCAAAATGGCGGATTGTGTCAGCGCTACTGAAATAGCAATCGTGTCCTGGCCGAAAACTATTTTAGCGCTTGTAAGCGCTTGCTAGCGCTTTTTTCTGCCAAACGCACCCATTGTTTCTTGCAATTTTCTTCCTCGCCTGTGTAGACTTTTCTAGAAACATGATGGTTGTCTGTCAAATCTTTTTTTGAAAAATGATGATAATATGATGGCGTTTGTAAAATACTATAAAAAGACATGGCTCAAGGATGAAAATTATATGGCTGTTTAGAATTCATTCGGAGTGCCTCACAGAACTACAAATTCATGAGAATCTTGGCATAAAACTATTTCAAATGAAGTTAAAGAAAGACCACATCCAAATTTAGTAACATTTTTGAATTGCTTGAAAAAAAAAACGCCCGTTTTTTCGCTAACACATCTGTTGTAATAAAGAACTTTAAAAAAGTATTGCAAATATACATTAAAAGAGACTAATTTATCACCGATATACAATTATTTCTACTGAATAATGAAATTAGCGTTGGTCATTTCCTGGACATATTGCAGAATTTTTAAATTACTAATTATTATTTAAAACGAGGAAGTTTAATTTGATTTAAATGCAATACACAATACGATTTTTGTTGAATGCTTGTGGTTATTAAAAATTGATCAATAATACTGGATGATTTTTTACCTCCTGGAAAAATATATGGTGTAATATGTGAACAGAGTAGAAGCCTATGGCACTGATATTTTACACAAAATTTAAAAAATGAATTAAATAAATAAATTAAAATCTATCGAAATTCAAATCATATCCCATCCATCACCCTACTTTATGAACGGCAGTAAAACAATTTTAGTACGCATCTTTGACCTTGTCACTTCGCAGGGTCACAGGCTAGGGTGGATTTTAATTTATTTATTTATTTCATTCAAAATTTTTTATTTATTTTTAAAAAGGTCATCCAGTATATTAAATTATGAATACATTTTCTATTAAATTGTACTCGAGGTAATAAGGCGGAACAACAACGAGAAAGTGAATTCTGATTATCCAACCCATCTGGGGTGGATAAATGAACACGCGTTTCCGAGTATCCACCCTAGAGTGGATAAACCGGAATAACTCAGAAATAACTTTTGCAATCACACAAAATTCACAGCTTATTCCGTCAATATGTCAATTACTAATTGTTGGCAACATTTTAAAATTCTTTGGCAACAACCTCTGTGCGACTGTTAGACAGACTATTGAGTGTTTGATCTACTAGGCTTTAGCCTACCATAAATTTGCTTACCCTTACTCTGAAATATTAGTAATATGAACGTCTACGACAAAACTTGTCCAGGCGACAATTTTTTTTTTTTTTTTTATAGAAGAGGGGGCAAACGAGCATGTGGCTCACCTGATGTTAAGTGACTACCGCCGCCCATGATCAACCGCAACACCAGGGGAATTGCAGGTGCGTTGCCGGCCCTTTAGAAAGGAGTAAGCTCTTTTCTTGAAGGTCCCCAGGTCGTATCGGTCCGGAAAAATCACCGGTGGTAAATTATTCCACACAGAGGTTGTACGCGGAAGAAAACTCCTTTTGAAACGTACAGTGGTGGACCGCCAAGCATCCAGATGGTGTGGATGGTATCGGGACGTTTGCCGTGTAGTGCGTTCACGAAATTTGGCGGCTGGGATTAATCCGAACAATTCCTCAGAGCACTCCCCGTGATAGATGCGATAAAATACGCAAAGAGATGCAACATCTCTTCGCAGCGCCAGTGAATCGAGCCGATCGGAAAGCACTCGGTCGTCGACGATTCGAGCCGCTCTGCGCTGGATGCGGTCAAGTGGAAGGAGCTGGTACCGGGGAGCCCCAGCCCAGAGATGGGAACAGTATTCCATGAGCGGCCGAACCTGCGCCTTGTAAAGTATAAATTATGTTTGACATTGGAAATATGAAGGTAAACAGTGAATGAACATATATATTTACCGTGTGTTTAGTTCAAATAAGTGGAATGTCGACAACAAATGGATGGATGTCCACCTAGTCTATGATTGTCCGATGCTGGAAGTTGAAAGGAGGCAATGATACCAAATTTAAGTTCCATGAATCGTATAGCGCCGGTGTAAGAATATCTATTACTCCAGATCGTCCCGTGGGTATCGTATAAGGCCACAGAGGGAAATAAACCAGGAGAGATAGGCAGCAGCTTAAACAAGAAAGCTGCGGTTGCCAATCCGCTTAGCAAGCTTGACAACTATGCTAAATATCCCCTTATACGACAATCTATGGAGAGTCCTATGTTCAGCAGTGGATTTTTGATGGGATGTGACGATTACATTCTATTGGACGCGTGCATCTTGTCGCGTACGAAAATTCATCCTTAATGCGCTTTAAGACGTATTATCTTAAAAATAATAAACACTTACTTCCGCAGGATAGGTTTGCAGGAAGGCCTGGGGGAAGCAACCTTTCCGTAGACGCAGCAAGCAAGCCACGCGTTCCGACTCGGTGCCGAATGGATATAGCAATTCAAACAGCACTAAGCCCAGAGAGTAGATGTCCACTTTATAACTGTAAGGTCTTCCAATCAACTGCTCCGGGGACATGTACAGGTGAGTTCCTGGAAATTAGATAGTAGTTGGTGATATATTAGAAATTACGTTATTTTCAGTTCCTTTGTTTGAAGTTGGTATCTGTACATAATTCACCCTATAAGGAGGAGGCGTATGTCTCACGTTATGAGCTGTTACGTGGGAGAAGGTCATACATATTTTTTTCATATTTGTATTGAAAATATCGTACGGTAATGACGTGTGCCATTCCGCATTTATCGCGTTCGAGGACACTAGTACCCTTACCGCTCTAAAGGTACACAATTCCGTAGCCGACTGCAGACGGCAGCAGCAAGCGGCGTGTCGTCGCGACACAACTGGTTTCTATGTAGTTCTATGAACGTGCCGTAGCGAGCGACACGTCGTTTGCCTAGAGTCTAGAGGCAGACGACACCGTAGTCCGGCCGCAGATCAGTAGTGTCGCCAACGCCCGAGCGACAACACGTTGAATTTTTCTTAAAAATGAGTTAAAATTCCGAGGAAGATTCCGTCACTTCCTCTGCATCTCAACACAGGACGTGTGTCTTTTTGTCTTTTCTCTGTATACTTGTTAATAAAAGCAAGTTATCATCATCTTATACAAAAATAAATCGTGATCGCTAATTTCATACGTCATACATCATGTCCCACTGAACACTCGGAACAGACTGGTTCAGAGTCATGACTGCAGCAACATGTCGCCACGACGTGTCTGCTGCTGCTGCCTGCAGTCGGCTACGGAATTGCACCTTAACAGTCTTTTCTTATTTTGCGCCGTTTCCTTTGAGGGAATCTTTATCTGTAGGGCATCTTGAAGGCGAGTTTCTTTATAGAGCCTTACAATTGAGACTGATCTTCATGATAGGAAATGTTTGCAATGTGGAAAATATTTTGCCTCAAAAAAGAGCGTTCAACTGTATATAAAACAGCTACAATCTAAAAATAGATTGACCCAAGGACAAAGTCGATTGAAGCCAGTCACCATTGTTGCTCGATACAACAAAGAGTTACTATATACTATCCAAGATCAGACTTCGATGGACAAGCTAATTGAATTGATGAAGATGTCGATATGACTGGCCTCATGATATTGATTGGCTGATTGACGACATAACAAAATCCTTCGATTCCTGGGAAAGAACCAATTAAATGATTGGTTGAGTCCCACATGGACAGATGATGTGGATGTTTAGTTATTTTACAAGCTTTTATTTATTATCACTTGTTCCGTTGTCTGTCTGTAATCAAATCTTGCAAATTAAATTTGACACACTTCCCCATGTCGTGAAAATGCAATATTATGATGATATGGAGCTAATCTGATGATGGAAGGTGGCCATAGAAACTCTGTGATGAAATGACGCATCGCCATCGAGATATATATAGATATAGAGACGTAGACTCATTTAATTCGCCTTGGTGAGTACTTTGGTCCTAGATAATATCCATATGCAACCCCATCAGATTTGGGAAATTAAGTTCGTTCCATTTGTTATGAATGTGAATTCTATTTGATGCACAAAATTCAGGGAACTACTATAGATTACGCACTCATTCCAAATTGTTTACTGCAGGTCAAGCTTACGTGGCTTTAAGTCGAGTTAGGTCTTTAGCAGGTCTTCAAATCGAAGAATGAGAATCCTTCAAGTAGACTTTATAATATGATGCATTAAAAGAAATGGATAGAATGAGAAATGTTACAAATAACTAACCAGTAATTACATAACTAATTTGAACATGATTTTACTGTAATTTACAAGTCCTACTAATTAAATAGATGTAAGTTGTTTAAACAAAATAGTGTATACGCGTACTGCGAATTACTACTGGCTATGGAAAAACGCCGCTACGAACTACGGCGTAGTAAATACCGAATCATAAATACTAACAAGTTATAAATAAAAGTAAAGATTTTTTTTTAAATTAACAAGTAATAAAAGTGTGTTTGAAAAAAATATTTGTTTATTTTATTCTTTCATAAAATAAAAATTATTTAAAGAAGTCTATTTAATTGAAAACTGCTCGTATTTATGTTAATCGTTCGAGTAACTTTATTATTTTATGGAATTAAAAAATACGTAATAAAAGAAATATTTATGACAGGGGTCGACAAAATGTCAACAAAGCGGACAAAATGTCAACATGGCGGATAAAATGTCAACATGGCGTTACGTGGTGGGGAGAGGGTTAAAAAAGTACCGAAAACGCGTTACGTGATTTATGTATAGCCTCTTATCATCAATTGGATTGCGCATGTTTGTTCATAAATTTAATATAAGAAAATTGAAATTATTGATTTTATTCGAGTGAGTAAAAGGGAACTAAATTGGATAAGATTTTTGATTCTGTTCCTAGTAGTGAATTATATGTTAAGTGCTTACCAACTTGATACGTATGTCTCGCGTAAACATTTATCTCGGTGGCTTCGCCATCTTGAGAGTTATCTCCCATGGCGGTGACGAGGCCGAAGTCGCCCACCTTCACCTTGCCGTCTGGCGCAAAGAATATGTTGCTCGGCTTCAAGTCGCGATGGATGAGGCCCGCCAGGTGGACATACTCCACCGCTGACACTATCTGACTGAACAGCGTGTTTGCCTGCAGAAGGACAAGGATGATGTTAGAGAATATATCACCACATTTTAACGCCATATAAGTCTTCTCTACATATTTTCTACAAGGGAAGAGGCCCGTATACGGAGAGGAGAAGATGTGCCCTTTGCATCGTCAACGTTGGGAGAGTATTGTAATCCCCAATACGTTTGGGAAGCGTGGCGAAATATTCGTGTGACACGAGGTTCATACTCAGCAGTGGACTGGTTACGGGTTAGAAGCCACCGGTGTTGTTTTCATTAGTTTTCTTTATTTCTTCATTACAGCCTATCAACAGGCAATACGAAACATAGGCCTCCCCCAATAATTTCTTCGTAGATAGTTGCCACGTATGGCAGGCGGGTTAGTCAAAATTTGTTTATGCCTGTTTGCAGTTTTATTTCCCTTTTTCGCCTCTTACGACACCCACCGGATGATAATAAAGTAAGGTGGGGTTGATAGGGGGTAGTAGATACTCTTAAGCCGCCGCTAAATGGCAGTGGATTGTTATCTAATGAAACAATGGCAGGGTTACTAATAAAGCTGTATTGCTCTCTTACGTTAGGGGCTAAAAAAATGATATCATTTCGAAAAACAATTCTCTAAATACGAGGGTGGATTGAAAAGTACTCGGCCTAACCAAGAAAATAAACACACACTAAATCAGTTATAGTTTTATTTTTCTACATAATCACCATCAAGTTCAATACACTTTTGCCACCTCCCCTTCCAAGCACAAATATGCGTCTACAGCTGCTTTGACCTCGTCGTTTGTCGAAAATCTTTGACCTCCCAAGTGCTTTTTTAGGTTAGGGAACAGAAAGCAGTCTGATGGTGCCAGATCAGGTGAATACGGCGGATGCGGTAACAGTTCAAAGCCACAGTTGTGAATTTCAGCCATTGACTGTACTGACGTGTGAACACGGGCGTTATCTTGATGAAACAGGACTTTTCTTCTGAGCATTCCTCGACGTTTTTCTTTTATTTCCTCTCGTAAACGACGTAGTAAGGTGCAGTAGTAATCAGAGTTTATAGTCTGACCCCTTTCAAGATAATCAATCATAATCACACATTTCGAGTCCCAGAATACTGAAGCCATCACCTTATTTGCCGACAAAATCGACTTAGCCTTTTTAGGGGGTGGTGAACCAGGTCTTCTCCACTGTTTTGATTGTTGTTTTGTTTCCGGTGTACAGTAATGAACCCATGTTTCGTCCATAATAACAAAACGATTCAAAAAATCATCTGCATCGGCTTCAAATAACTCCAAACAGTCGCGTGAAATAGTCAATCGCGTCCTTTTTTGTTCAACTGAAAGCAGTCGCGGAACCCACCTCGCAGACACCTTGTGGAAACCCAACTCGTTGACAATGATTTTTTGAGTTCGTTCATAAGAGATGCCTATAATCTCGGCTATCTCTCTAATTTTAATCTGCGGTCTCCCATTATTAAATCAAGTACTTTTTAATATTTTCGTCAGTAGTTGACGTCGAAGGCCTTCCAGAGCGGGGTTCATCTTTCACACTCTCTCTACCACGCTTAAATTCTGCTATCCATTTTTTGACGGATGAATATGACAGAGCACAATCGCCTAATGTACTGACCATGTCATCATGGATGGCTTTTGATGATAGCCCCTTCTTATGGAGGTACTTAATGACGGCACGCTGCTCGATTTGCTCCATTCGCGGAAATTATGTCCGATTACTTTGTTAATAAATTTATAAAATCACAACTAATTATCGCACACGTTTCGAACTTCACACAATGAACTAGTCTGAACTGAACTAAATAATGTGCGTAGATTTGATTTTTAGAATTGAATGGATCTGTGTTAGGCCGAGTACTTTTCAATCCACCCTCGTATTAATATATTTTAACTATCATAAGGAGGAATTATTTTATACAATAAGGGTGACAAAAGAGCACACAGTTCACCTGATGGTAATGCTGTGTCCCATAGAAAAGAATCAAAATGTAAATACGTAGCCACCCCTGAGGACTAAGATGGAATTCCTCGTTTGCAGTAAAAAGGGTCTGGTTCTCTATACTCACCATACGAAACACAGCAGCATTGAACTACAATTTTACGCTGGTATTCTGTGAATGTGAACAGAACGAGGCTCATATAACCATAATATAGTTGCAGCATGGGTCTACCACGTAAAAGGGCAAACAACATAGGAAGGATTTACTGGGTAGTAAGACTGTCTAGGAGGCCTTCAGGCACCACGCTTTAACTATTTCTGCCGCTAGAAAACAGTGCCTGCACTAATGTGTTTAGTTCTGAACACACACACACACACACACACACACACACACGCACACACGCACGCACGCACGACACACAGACGCACGACGCACGCAAACAAAACCACGCACGCACGCACGCACACACACACACACACACACACACACACCACACACACACACACACACACACACACACACACACACTTTTTTCAATTTTCATCACACTAATTACAATATTTACGAAAACAAGCAAAAAAAAATTACATCTATAAAGGCTTCTATTTTGGATAATATGTCCCGAAATTTGTTTATAAATATTGGTAAATGTAGATTGTTTCATTAAAAAAAGAGAAAACAATATTAATACGCACATTCTGCCTTCTTGCGTCCCAGGTTTGATTGTGCCGTAACCAGTCGTGCAGGCTGTCGCGGCGACACAGCTGCATCTGTATGTACAGGTACATCTTGCTGCCGCTCACACTGGCCTCTTCGCTTCTCACGCACAGGTCCAAGGACCAGTGACGTGTGTGACCCTTCTGAAACACAATTTAGTAATTATCCTTCACTTTACTAACTACCCTCACTCTTTGTCTAGTTTGTTAAAATTTAAAACAAAGCTTCACTGTTACCGTTAGCCTGAAGTCCACTGCTGAACATAGGCTTCCCCATAGATTAAATCATAAGAGAGATATTTGCAACAGTTGCCACACTTGCAACGCGGATTGGCAACCGCAGTTTTTTTATTGTCAGTCGTTATTTGGAAAACGCTGCTGCCCACCTCCTGTTCATTTTTCTCTGTCACTTCTTATGGCACCCATGTATTATTATATATTCTTTTATTGCATGGAATACTTGATATTCTTACACCGACACTAAATGGTAATACCTACTACCATTATTATGTTTACTACCTAGTAAACATAATAATTACTGAGACGTGGTAGCTCAGATGGTTAACGCTCGCTGGGTTCGATCCCCACCGGCACCAACGAAATTGTTAATTGCAATTTTAAGTGCTGATTTTACCACGGGCTCGGCGGTGAAGGAAATCATCGTGAGGAAACTTGCATGTCTGAGGAATAAGAAAAAAAATATTTCGAAGACATCGCCAACACGCATTGGGGTAGCGCGGCGGACACTTCCTTGCCCTAAAACCCTCTCAGGGATGAGGGGAGGCCTGTGCCCAGCAGTGGGACATATATAAGCTGTAACTTTACTTTACTAAACATAAGAATTACTAACAATCAACTGTATTTACTTTAAGTGTAGCTATTTTTCTTTTTTGACCACCTGATGTTATTTATTTATTTTATTCTTTATTGCATCCTTAATGAAAGAATACAAAGGGCGGACTTAATGCCTTGAGGCTCTACCAGTCAACCCATGGAGTGGTGAGAATTTGACGTAGGTGTGGCAATATAGAATAAGAGAACACAATACAAATGATAATTAACTACATAATATATACAAACTACTAATAAATAAACTATACATATATGATCTATCCTTACATATATACAAATATATAAATAAATGGATATACATACAAGTGAACATATTTAAATACATACATAATTAGTATATACAAATGACTATGAATATATACGTCTGTTTGGCAATACATATTAAATAGATTAGTCATGTAGAATGCATTGTCTTTAATAAATGATCACGGACCAACTTTTTAAAAGCGTACTTATTGGGAGCTTTTCTGATGTCATCGGGCAAAGAGTTCCAAAAGCGTATAGCCTGAACTGTGAAGGAGTTACCACAGAACTCGGTGAAGTGAACTGGGGTACAGATTTTGTTGTTAGAAGAAGAGCGTAGGACCCTATCATGAGATGAGGAAAGATAATGAAATTTACTCTTAAGATAAGAAGGCGAAGATGGATCATTTAATATGGAAAAAAGTACAAGTAATATTCTGGAGTTGCGCCTCTGCCGGATTGTAAGCCCATTTAGCTTAGATCTGTATTGCGAAATATGATCATACTTACGAAGCCCAAAGATAAATCTTATACAGTTATTGAGGAGGCGTTCCAGCTTGTTCAGTAGATCTTGGGACAGGTCTGGGTAACACACATCTGTATAATCAATTATGGGTAATATAAGTGAATGAAAGTTAAGTGTTTGCTGTTGCCCATAGACATTTACATCTATCCACGATTACAAATTAAAATGCAGATACTTTGTCAGCCCTTAATACTGAAATGGAATGCTTCTTTTCCAGTAAAATGGGTCTCCGATTCTCTACTCGCACCATACGAAACACAGCAGCGTTAAGCTGCTATTTCACGCTAGTATTCTGTGAGAGTGTGGTCCATCCCAGGTTGACCCGACCCATTCGTGCTACAACTATACTACTGATATAGCTATAGCATAGCTATACCGCATATACAAAGTAGAATATTTTTTAGTAGCTCGCAATATTTTAAAAAGTTATTATTTATTCTTGAAAAGTGGCAATCCTTATAGCTAATAGCTATGTTGTTGTTAGAATAGTTTTACAAATACATAACAAATAACACCGTACCTTTTTCCTGCTATTTTTCGAACTTTCAGTCTTTACATATCCATCACACTCCTTAACTTTGTCCAATATCTTGTTAGATAAGTCCTGTCTCGCCTCGGACAATCCTGAATCTTTGTCCACATTTTCGAATACAATAAATGAGTCATCATCATCAGTGGCTTTGTTTTTGGACAGAGTGTGTAGGGTGACCCCACTATTGCATATTTTCGTTGGTGATTTAGAGTTTGCGAATATAATCGATGAGCCGCCGTTGTCCAAACTTTGCAAATCTTTGGATAGAACGTTTGGCGGCAAATTGCAGCTGTTTGCGGTCGCGTGTTTCTTTGATAATTCTGAGTGTTTCGAAGCGTTTTCGTCGAAGATTATGCTGAATGAGTCGTTACAACTGAGGGACCTACAAATAACATATTTTTTTTATTAAAATCGACATAGATAATCTAAAAATCGAATATTATTTAAAAAAATTGTGCATTAGAAATGTATTTAAAATGTACAACTAATGCCAAGTTGCAGAGATAAATAATTAAGATATGGGGAGCAGTGTCTAACTAATAAAACCTAGAAAATGAAAATAAAACTGCAGTTGTCAACCCGCCGGCCAAGCGTGCCAACCATGCACTTTGATAAGCTGTAAGGAATGCATAATTGAATGAGAATTACTTTTTCGACACTATGTAAAAAAAATTTCTATACCATGAATTTGGTATACACACATTGAATAATTATTTCCTTAAAGAAAACACGCCTGATTATAAGAACAGCCAGTAGATATAAAAAAACATTCGATGCCATTCGTTACCATTACTGTACAACCTATCAAAAGTCTTCTGCTGAATGTAGGCCTCCCCCATGGATTGTTTCATAGAGGGGATATTTGCCATAGTTTCCACTACACTACATCTACCTTGTAGTGAGGTGTGAGAATGTCCACTACCACATACCGTCTCGTAATTATCGTTGTAGTTTTTTACGTGGTAGAATGGGTCGGCTCACTCTCTCACAGAATACTAGCGTAAAATAGCAGCATAATGCTACTGTGTTTCGCATGATGAGTGTAGAGAACCAGAGACTTTTTAATGGAATCGAGGCATTTTGTCTTAGTCCTAAGGGGTGACAACGCTTTGCATTTTGATTCTTAATTGAGGATAAATGTGTATGCGCCACAGCATCCACTTTACCATCAGGTGTACTGTGTGCTCTTTTGTCGCCCAATGCTAAAAAAAAGCTTAGAGAGAGAAACAACAAAGACAACTAAAATATAAAAAATCTGCAGTTGCCATCTCGCCTGTCTAGCGTGGCAACGGTGGCGACCATCATAAATGACGATACCATCGGCGACAACCAATACCATGGATGAAAAAGAAACATCCTATCAATAATTATTTATCGCACGTCGTAAAATAGTTGTAATACTAATTGATTATTTTCAATGCAAACTCTATTTTTCGGTGGGATTTTTATTAAAAAGGGGTCTGTTTTTTGGATAGTCTGCTTTTGAAGTTTGTTTGAACTGTTCCTTTTTGAGCAATTTGAAAACAGAAACAAATGAATCTTCCGAAAGTTAATAAGGCGATGTGAATATATAGATCGGAGATACCGATATCGGTTTCTTCGACCTTTCGATAAATCAATCAATAATAAATTTTTGTAAGATTTATTTTTATTATTACAATATTTTTTACTGTTAACATTTTCATTAATACCTTTTAATATCTGTGTCGATTTTAAATTTTGTAACAAGTGAAATTTATTAATGCTGTCAGTTATACAAATAACATGTTCATTTGACTAATTCCATCCATCCATCACAGCCTATAAAAGTTCACTGCTGAACATAGGCCTCCCCTATAGATAGCCTCATAGGACGGAATTTTTACATAGGTGCCACGCTTGGCATGCAAGTTGGCAACCGCAGTTTTTTATTATTTTGATTTGTTATCAGGAAGATGCTGCTGCCCATATCTTGTTTCAATTTTTCTCTGTCGCCCCTTACGACACCCACGGGGCGATATGGGGTAGTAGATATTCTTACACTTAGACCATTCAGCCCAATGGACTCGCGCCTCGCATGGTTATTCCCCTCTGCGCAGGTATTGGATTTAAAATTGTTGTGCGTTTATAAAAACTGTTTACGGAATCGATTTTATCATTACAAGAATCGTTTCCGTCGTGAGCGCTCTTTAAAAAATGCCAATTTGTGCGGTTAACGTGTGCAAAAAGAAGTCTAATACTTCAAACTTACAAAAAGATGGAGTTACATTCCCATATGTAAGTATTTTTATTGTGATATATGCTTTTTTTCTATTAATAATCGAGAACCATACCGATAAGATAATCGAGTACAAAACATTTCATAAAAATCGTAGTGATAATCGATATGTGAGAAGCGGACTCCCTTATATATATATATACCCGCTCGAGTAATGTTTGCCTAGTAAACGTCGTAAATTAGTCTGTAATGCTTTACCAACATTACTATTAAGAATTGTTTCTTTACGTGGTAGAGCTACTCTGCAGCTATTATGTTTGTAGCATAATGGGTTGGCTCGACCGGGTCAGGAACATGCTCTCACAGAATACCAGCATAAAATAACAGCTGAATGCTGCTGTGTATCGTATGGTGAGTGTAGAGAACCGGAGACCAGTTTTACTAGAATCGAGGCATTCCATCTTAGTCTTCAAGGGTGACAACTGACAACGGATCTGCGTTTTGATTCTTAATCGAGGATAAATGTAGATGTCTATGGGCTACAGCATCCACCTACCATCAGGTGGACTGTGTGCTCGTTTGTCACCCTTATCCTATAAAAAAAAGTTATATTCATGTTATGTAATTGAAAGTTGGGATTGTTTTATGAGGCAACCCATTGGATTTTATAGGTCTGGAGTAGGTGCATAATTTCCTCAATAGGATATTATTTTCCTTTCCAGGAGGTCTAGTCTGTAAAAAGCTACAAATCTCGGGAATCAGGTCCTTCTAGTTCTACTCCATCATTAATCACGCACGCAAGCAACAATTGTCTCTTTAAAAGTTCGCTTTCTGCAATTCCTATCATTTCTAGGACCTGTTTGTTTTATTTATTTGTTTTATTTATCAAAGACCTGTTTGTTTTATTTATCAAAGATGTCTGTCAGCGAATCTAGTAATTTTTACAAACCTGTACCTTTTTTATAATGATTTCTTAAATTTACGCGAACACTACACATTGAATAAAACTAAATTTACGGATTCTATCGCGTTTATTTAACTGATTTTACGTATTTTTAATTCCCGGCGTTTCGGGTTCACCACTGAGAGGACATACCAGAGCACACACAAAGGGTTCATACCATTTTGTTAGTGAGATAAAAGACTTACATCTCGCTGACAATGAAACTATGGTCAGTTTTGATGTTCAGTCGCTATTCACATGCCTACCTGTTGAAGACTGCGTCTCAATTGTAACTAGGAAGCTAGAAGATAACAACATGCCTGCTGAATATGCAGTATTACTCAAACATTGCCTCAAATCTGGCTATCATTGTGGAAGGAAGAGTTCTACAAGCAAGTAGATTGTGTGGCGATGGGCTCACTTGTATCTCCCATAGTCGCCGACATATTTATGGAGGACTTTGAGGAGAAAGCCCTTCTTACTGCTCCTGTAAATCCAAGATTCTACAAGCGGTACGTAGACGACACCTTCACAATTTTACCATCTGACAAAGTAACTGCATTTTTAAACCACCTTAACTCTATAAATTCTAAAATACAATTCACAACGGAGTTAGAGGCAAGTAATTCTTTAGCTTTCCTAGATGTTTTAGTCATTCGAAATCCTGATAACACTATTGGTCACACTGTGTATAGAAAAAAGACCCATGCCAACCGATATTTAAATGGTGAATCTCACCATCATCCTTCACAGTTAGCTACCGTGGGTAAATCTTTGTTTCAGAGAGCACGAGGGATCTGTGACAGAAAACATCTGGCCGCTGAGCTGCAGCATGTCAAGCAAGTGTTGCAAGACAACAAGCTTCGGATCCCGCGCCTACGTCACAGTGACCGAGTGAAGCCGGCCACAGTCGAGCGTGTGCCTGCTGTACTACCATATGTCAGAGGAGTCACAGACAAGGTTGGCTACATCTTGAAGTGAGCTTCCATTAAAACATACTACAAGCCGCCGAAGAAGATTAGTCAATTTTTACCATCCGTCAAGTGTAATATCCCTCTACAAGATGCAGGAGTGTACAAGTTAGATTGTGAATGTGGTCTCTCTTACATAGGTCAAACAAAAAGATCCATAAAAACCCGCGTGAAAGAACATATAGCTGACGTGAAGCACCGCAAATCCTCGCAAAAGAACACCGATTCCTACCAAGGATGATACGTGAGGCTATTGAAATTAAAAAATATCCTAATTTCAATAGAGAAGATGGTTGGGTGCTGCCATCTGCTTGGGATCCTATAATTAACAAAATTAAACCCAAACCCAAGCATACCACTGCAAGACTTCAAGAAACTGTAAGTTCGTTTTGCGTAAATCGGACCAAAAATTAATATTCAAAAACTGAAGGTAGCCGGGCTACCAATCACATTGGAACGTCAAACATCTCAGTCCCCCCCGTGTACCATGGTTGCTGTAAAGCACCCGAAACGTCGGGAATTAAAAATAAGTAAAATCAGTTAAATAAACGCGATAGAATCCGTAAATTTAGTTTTATTCAATCTGTACCTTTTTTTATTTGAATACCGTTTTAAAATAGACGATGTTGTCACTAAGATCAGCCTAAAATAAATATTTTTTATTCATAATTTTATTCCTTTATTTCTATATTTTTTATTGTACTAATTAATAAGTTGAGATACTTTATTTTTGTTTCACAAAAGCATTTTATTGTAATAATATAAATATCGATTTTAAAACTGATTTTTTTTTGTGATGATGGCTTGGTATTTAAAACATAAGTTCCTCCACTTTTTGTGTTTGGTACTTAGAGACTTTTTATTTCTGGTATCCATGTTTAACTATGCCAAATTACAGCTCTTTAGAATACCAATAGTCTCTGTTCGAAGCCGCGGACAAACCGACAGACTGTTGAACTTGGCGAAACAGAAACATTTTTTATTCCATATAAGGGGTGTCTCAGTAAGAGTGCACTTTTTCATTTTAAAATAAAAACAAGTATTTTATGACAGAGTTGTGATATTTTTATTGTATTGTAAAGAAGACATGTTCCGATTAAGTATGGAATAAAATATCCGGCAAATGACCCCCACGGCTCCGATGACAGGCCATTACTCTTTTCATGAAATTTTCCATGACTTTTGCACAGAGATGTGGCTGTATCTCACCGATGACGCGTTGGATTTCCGATTTGAGCTCAGGAATTGTTTCGGGTTTATTCGTATAAACCCGAGATTTCACAAAACCCCAAAGAAAAAAATCGCACGGCGTTAAATCGCACGATCTTGGTGGCCAGTTGCCATCAGAGTTTCGTGAGATAATGTGTTCTGGAAATCGTTGCTGCAATAAGTCGATTGTTTCATGCGCGGTGTGGCAGGTTGCGCCGTCCTGCTGAAACCACATGTTGTCCAGATCCATGCCGTCCAGTTGAGGCCACAAGAAGTCCGTTATCATATTCCTGTAACGAATGCCGTTCACAGTCACTGCAATTTCGTCCTCATTTTCAAAAAAGTAAGGACCAATCACGCCGCCTGACCAAAATCCGCACCAGTTACTCGTTGTGGGTGCATTTGTTTCTCATGCATTGCATGAGGATTTTCTGAGTCCCAAATTCGACAATTTTGTGTATTCACGAAGCCATCCATATGGAAATGCGCTTCATCGGAGAAAATGACTTTTTCCGAATAATTGGTATCGACTTCACTTTGCTCCATTACCCATTGAACGAATTGCCGACGCTTTCCGTGGTCTGCTGGTTTGAGCTCCTGAGTTAACTGAATCTTGTACGCATGAAGGTGGAGGTCTTTAGTCAAAATTCGCTGCGTAGTGCTTCGTGAAATTTGAAGTTGTTGAGAACGATGTCAAATTGATGTTTTCGGGTTTTCGGCAACACTCTCGTTTACAGCAGCAATGTTTTCAAGAGACCGACCGGTACGTTGACGCAAACGATTCTTATTATCCATAATTGACCCAGTTTCTTCAAATTTTTTAACCACTCTTCGAATGGTTGACACATTAGGTGCACTTTCTTGGCTGAAAATTTGGCGAAGTTTGCGAACGGTTTCAGCGTAACTTTCCCCATTTTTGTAATGAGGTTTCACAATTATAACGCGTTGTTCTTTCGAAAACCTCTCCATTTTTAATAATGGAAATAAACAGAGATGACAGCTGTCAAATTTCAGAGTTGCCACTTGCATGAGAAAAAATATTCCAATTTTAAAAAGTGCACTCTTACTGAGACACCCGATAGATTGTAAAACAATACTTATTGAAAGTCACTTTTTTTCATTTGCTACTGGTTCGCAAAAAAAACCTTTGTCCTGGGAAGAACCAGCAAGATATCCAGCGGCACTAATTTTTTTTTTTTCAAATAATAGCTAACAATCATGTATATTACAATTAACAACACAAAACAAATTAGAAATAGCTTGGTAACGATCACCCTTCCCAGGAGTTATTATCATCGATAAATTCCTTAATATTATAATAACACTTTTTATACAAACTTAGTTCAATAAAGTTAACTTTGTGTATGTCAAATTTTGTATATTTTCTGGGATTTTGTTGTAAAAGCGTATACATCGCCCCAAGAATGAATTACTGATTCGGTGGAGTCGAGTAACTGGTACTACTAGCTTGTGTCTGTTCCTAGTATTTACAGAATGAATATCAATTATTTTTAATTTTAACTTTAAACTATAAGCGTTCCTTGTTGTGTTACTACGGAACCCTTGTTTGAGTGAATTTTGCTAATGCTGCGAGTTTTTCTCTTTTTCTTAGGGAAACTATCGATATAGACTATCGATATTTTCATTGCAGTTAATTTGTCCGTCTTACACTCATAACTTTTTCAATGTTGATGTATTTAACCTACATGTGTGCCTAAATGTAATAGTGTTGGAGATTTAGAATTGTGTGTGCCATAATGACACAAAATTTTATTGAGTAGGTGTGCAGTACTGTCTATGTAGTGTTTCCTCCACCGCACCAAAATTGACAGACGTTTTTGATCGTAGCATTAGGCGCATTTACTCGTCCATTGAATTGAATGGTCTAAGATTCTTACACCGCTACTACTACATAAAGACGTTTTATTGGTATTCATACAATTCTTATAGGGAGTATAATTTGTACACAATTTGTACATTTGACATCAGTCTACAGCGTAATAAAAAAATAAAGAAGTTAACGACCGTATAACTTAGTAGTTATAGAATGAGACTATAGCGCCGCGGGTGCGAGTATGTCACAATAAAAATTAGATAACACTTTATTCCACGCAGAAAACGCCTAAATATTAATAAAAAAGGAGAGAAGTAAATGTGGTACAATGGGCAGTCTTATGGCTAAGAGCGATCTCTTCCAGACAACCTTTGGATGGACAGGATTGCAAGAAAACAATAAAAACATGTGTCGTTTGGCGACAAAAAAAATTGTTATAAAAGTATTTTTATTATAAATCACAAAATAGAAATAAAGATGCATAATACAGAATGGTATATAAGTACATACGAAAAACACATACATACTTATTTATATGTATATACATATATATATATATAAATATATATATATATATATATATATATATATATATATATATATATATATAAATGAAATAATATATGGACTATTCATGGAATAAAAAAATACGGTTGCCAACTCATCCCCTATGAATCGATCAACGGGGTAGGCCAATTTTCAGCAATAGACTTTTAATAGGCTGTAACGATGATGATGATGTATAATTATAATTACTTAAGATTAAATAATTATAATTACCTAAGTCTTCTTGGTTCTCTCAGTTGCTTTTCGTAGTCCAGAGCGTCGATGCAATCGTCGACGGGTTTCTGCAGATCCAACATTACGCTATCTCCTTTAGGGGGAGACTTGTTCGTGATGGGTGTCTGAGAGGTGTAGTCGTTACTTTTCACCATCGACATGCCTTCCAATTCCCTAAAAAGAAAAGTAATACTATACTATAAAAAACCCTAATAGTTGTAATGATGTAACGGATAAGTAAGCTGAAGTGGCCGGCCGTATAGATCGAAGAACCGACAACCGATGAGAAAAAAAGGTTCTCGAGTGGCAGCCTCGTACCGGTAGACGTAGTGTAGGGCGAACCCCCAAAAGATGGAGTGACGACCTGGTAAGACATGCTCCGTCGATGGATGCAGGTGGCTCAGGACCGTGCTTTGTGGCATTACTTAGGGGAGGCCTATGTTCAGCAGTGGACTTGTAAAGGGCTGTAATGATGATGATGATGAGTTGTAATGACCACCTGGCTTACCACCTCTTAAGGTGCAGGAAGTCGATGAATGCAGGTGGCTCAGGAAATTGCTTTGTGGCATTCCTTGGGGAGGTCCATATTCAGAAAACTTGTGATGGTCTGTAATTAAAATTATGATGATGACGGTGTCGCTCTGAAGGTGACCAATCACTGAATACAGACCTCTCCTCACTTAAAAGGGGGTTAATTATTCTTTAATAAATTTTATTGTGCCGTGTAGTGACGGTTGAGAATATCCACTACCCCATATCTTCCCGTGGCTGTCGTAAGAGGCGACAGAGGGAGACAGGTAGGGGATGGGCAGCAGCATCTTCCTGATAACAACTGTGATATAATAAAAAACTGCGGTTGCCAACCTGCTCGCCAAGCGTGGCAACTATGGCAAATATCCCCCCATGAATAACGACGCAAACAGACGGCCCCCAGTCCCCGGCGGCCCCACTATTCCTGGCTACGGTGGCGACCATGGTAACGGCGGGGCAGGGGGTGCTAAGAATCTCCGGTGAAAGTTCGGTTGCCACCTACGACGACTCGACCTGGCAACATATAACGCACGCACCCTGAGGACTGACGAGAAAATACTGGAGCTGGAAGAAGAGGTAGACAAGTTGCGCTGGCATATTATTGGATTATCCGAGGTCCGAAGAGAGGGGGAGGACACGTCAATCCTCGAGTCCGGCAACTTGTTCTATCACCGGGAGGGCGACCTTCTGTCCCAAGGAGATGTCGGATTTATCGCCGACAAGTCTCTCGTCAACAACGTTGCCAAAGAGCCAACTGTCAAAGCTGAAGACTGAATGTGGCAGCATCGTTTCCGGGACACCTGAGATTTTGAGTGAGATTGAGAGGTTCTATGGGCAGCTGTACACATCATCGTTGGAGCCACACGCAAGTGTGAGTAACGATCCAAGAGCAAGTCTTACCCGACACTATTCCGATGATATCCCGGACGTCAGTCTGAGCGAGATTAGAATGGCTCTCCAGCACCTTAAAAATGGCAGGGCCCCAGGCGAGGATGGAATTACAGCGGAGCTTCTGAAAGTGGGTGGAACACCGGTACTTGAAGTCCTTCAAAAGCTCTTCAATTACGTCCTCCATGGTGGCACTACTCCGGAGGCGTGGAGCAGAAGCGCGGTGGTCTTGTTCTTTAAGAAAGGCGACAACGCTCTCTTGAACTACAGACCGATATCCCTTCTGAGCCGCGTCTACATGCTATTTTCGAGAGTCATTACGAATCGTCTCGCACGCAGACTCGACCACTTCCAGCCTCCCGAAAAAGCCAGTTTCCGAAAAGGCTTCAGTACCATAGACCACAAACATACCCTGCGGCAGATTGTACAGAAGACCGAAGAGTACAATCTGCCACTTTGCCTGGCATATGTGGACTATGAGAAAGCCTTTGATTCCGTCGAAATTTGGGCGGTGCTACAGTCCCTTCAGCGGTGCCAAGTTGACTGTCGGTATATCGAAGTGCTGAAGTGTTTGACAGTAGGGCTACGATGGCTATCTGAGTACAGAACCAGAGTTCGAAACCTATCCAACTGCAGAGAGGTGTAAGACAGGGTGATGTTATATCCCCGAAACTCTTTACCGCTGCGTTGGAAGACGTTTTCAAGCTACTGGACTGGAAAGGATACGGTATTAACATCAATGGCGAGTACATCACTCACCTTCGATTTGCCGACGATATAGTCCTTATGACAGAATCGCTGGAGGACTTAAGCATTATGCTCAATGACCTCAATAGTGCCTCCCTACGGATAGGTCTTAAGATGAACATTGACAAAACAAAGAACATGTTTAATGTCCATGTCACACCTATGCCGGTAGTTGTTGGGAGCACTATGCTCGAAGTTGTTGACGAGTACGTTTACCTGGGACAAATAGTCCGACTAGGTAAGTCCAACTTCGACCGAGAGGTCAATCGACGGATTCAACTCGGCTGGGCAGCGTTCGGGAAATTACGACACATCTTCTCGTCAAGTATACCTCAATCTCTGAAAACTAAAGTGTATAACCAGTGCGTGTTGCCAGTGATGACTTACGGATCTGAGACGTGGTCCTTCACTGCTGGCCGTATGAGAACGCTCAAGGTCGCTCAGCGAGCTATGGAGAGGGCTATGCTCGGAGTTTCTCTGCGTGATAGACTCAGAAATGAGGATATCCGCAGTAAAACCAGAGTGACCGACATAGCCCAACGGATTAGTAAGCTGAAGTGGCAATGGGCCGGCCATATAGCTCGAAGAACCGATAACCGATGGGGAAAAAAGGTTCTCGAGTGGCAGCCTCGTACCGGTAGGCGTAGTGCAGGGCGAACCCCCACTAGATGGAGTGACGACCTGGTAAGACATGCAGGAAGTCGATGGAATGCGGTGGCTCAGGACCGTGCTTTGTGGCGTTACTTGGGGGAGGCCTATGTTCAGCAGTGGACTTGTGAAGGGCTGTAATGATGATGATGAAATTTTATTCCTGAACTTTTTAACTACCATGTAATCTTGTGAAGAGCAAAACAAGTCAGCTAACAGTTTAATAACAATAATAATAATAAACAGACCAACGTGCTAACTGACAAACTTATTACGTTGACTACTATACCTAATAGTAACCTGATACAAATATAGGAGTCTATAGATGCGTTGTCACCCACAAGGTTTATAACCCTGTGGGTGCTGCTGACGCAGCACACATATGCGTCGCCCGTGTCAATATGTATATTGTATATGATCCTCGTAAAATATGATAACGACCCCCACTAGCGGGAAAACAGTCTGTAAGTTAGTAATGCAGTTCCTTTTGGGTGTAGAATGTGATCACACATCTCTGATAAGATAAATGAAATCGGCTACAACCTGATGCGAACAATTTATCATTTTCCTCTCCACACAAGCCCCTGAGATACAAGGTTCACAACAACCCTATAGTTGCTTACTAACAGAAATAGGTAAGAACCACCTAACCAAATCCAAAAGACGCCTAGCTCGCACAGGTAATAAATTGATCAGGTTTACTATATTAGATACTGTTAAAAATTTTCTTTGACATATATCACCATTTCCCTTATTAATAACAGATTTTTACATTAAACCATATGGTTTTGCCCTATATTGGCCAAATTATATAACACATGCTATACAATTTCAAGCTGTCGCTAAGTCTCGAGGTGTCAAAGTGATAGAGACAGCATGAAACTTAACAGCATATTAAACTTGAGTAGCGTAATAGCGTTTGAGGATTTGGCCATTAATTTATTAAGGGGACACCGCGAAAAAATGCACCTCCTTTCATCGAATAGTATATGACTATGACACCACTAACGAAACTAGAATTTTTATATAGGTAAATTCATGTCTTTATCTTGAATTTGATTGCCTTCAAAAACACGATTGTATAATTTTGACTCGATCATAATTATTTGCGAAAACACCTTTAAAAAATCACTATAGTTGAAATTATAACGATATTACTTAACCTATATGTTTGGGAATCACTCAAATATATTCATAACATCTTTTATATTCATAGTTTACTTGCTCATTATTTTGATTACTTAAATTAATAATTTTTAAAAAATATTTTAAGATTCTGACAATTTCTAAGCGGTTTTATTCATCGCGGGCGCTACGCAATTTTAAACCTTATGACGGCGTTTTTTTTTCAAAGTTTTTATAAAAATTATGTATTCAGTAGGATCAGTACAGCGATAGGCTGGAACCACATTTTCGATGTGTCATCTTAATACAAAATCCCTAGTGTTTCTGTAATAATATAATAATATGTAAACTTGTGAGTGACAACCTGGTAAGACGTGCAGAAAGTCAATGGATGCGGGAGGCTCAGGACCGTGCTTTGTGACATTCCTTGGGGGAGGGCTATTTTCAGCAGTGGACTTGTGAAGGGCTGTGATAATGATGACGATGATGATGTAAAATTATTTTTAAATCCAAAGATAACAAGGAATGTACCGCATTAAGACGGCGTCGCGTTGCTCCTGCCAATTCGGCGGAGGTTCCTCAAGCCAGGCGTTGAAGTACCGCACGATATTCTCGTGCTCCAGCTTCGCAAGGGCACGGACTTCGCGGAGTACCCGTTCTCGTTTTGACTGCCTAAAAGAAAAAAAGCTAAAGATAAAGCCTATAGCAATCGTCCCACTGGGCACATGTCTCGTTTTTGGTAGAGTTATAGAGCAGTTAGTTCGCCGCAATAGTGGCGAGTGTGGCCTGAGTAATCGCCTGGGGTATGTTCCGAAATACAACCCAGTACACTGGCAAATGCAAACGACGTCGTCAATTTACACTATATTGTACTGGCGTGCCGCTGCCATATTGCGTCGGATATCCGGTCACAATAAAACAATTTTTAAATGTGTGTGCGCTGAATGAATCATGCCAGAATTTGTTTTTATTTATTCAAATACAAAAAAATAATGGAATAAATTCTGGTATCTCCATTAGGGGGATATAATGATAATCGCCAACACTTTTCCAATAGGGCGCAAATGTATGACGTCGTATACTGTCCTATATTTTGAAACGACTCGCCAGTATAGCGTCGATTCATGACGTCATTTGCATTGGACAGTACACTGGGTTGTATTTTGGAACATAAACCTGTTCTCCACTCGATGTCGGTTATTTTGCGCGAATCAAAAGATTGTTTGTGTGTATTCGTATCGGTGTTTACATACTCGTCATTATACAGTTGACCCGTGAACTATCAATATAATTTATTTGGCAAAGCTACCATTATTATTTTCTCATGTCTTTCTTTGATAAAATATATAAAAATATAACTTGATAGTCGGTTTAGATTAAATTAAGAATTTCACACGAGCGAAACTCTGTTTTGACTGCGGTTGACAGCGGTTATACACCACCTTTTTCTTTTTTTTCATTTATAATATTTTTGTCTCCATTAGATTTTAAAATTAATACTCCAATATTATCCCATATAAAATTGTATATAGATTATCAGTAGCTGCAGCATGTGCATGATAAATTAAAAAAGTATATTAAAATGACTTCGTAAACAGCATCAGTTACGCGGATGACATGGTGCTGCTAAGCCCTTCGATCAGGGTACTCGAAATATTAATAAATTTATGTGAGAGATATTCAGAAGCCCATGGCCTCAGGTATAACTCCAAAAAGAGTGAACTACATGTTTTCAAGACATGGAACAAAGAACTCCAGGCTATTCCACTGGTTAGGCTTGGAGGAGTACCTTTAAGTAGAGTCACCAAATTTAAATACTTGGGGCACTGGGTTACACAGAGGACCTCTCTAATGACATGGATATTGAACGAGAATGTAGAGCGTTATCAGTGAGGTGCAACATGCTGGCTCGTAGGTTTGCGAGGTGTACAAATGCTGTCAAGATAACCCTTTTTAAGGCGTACTGCCAAACATTTTACACTTGCAGCCTGTGGGCCAAGTATACTCGCAGATCTGTAAATGCTCTACGAGTTCAGTACAATAATTGTTTTAGGATGCTGATGGGGCTGTCTCGATATTGCAGCGCATCAGGTATGTTTGTTGAGGCTAACACGGACAGCTTTGATATAATAGTAGGGAAGAGAGAGGCCTGCCTGATGCTCGCGTTCGAGACAGTGTCAACGGACTCCTAAGTACTGTATTAGGAAGGCTTGACTGTCCGGTTGTGCGGCACTGGAACACTGCATATGGGGTCCATAGCTGTTATGTTTAATATAAAATAAGCATTGTTATTTTTAGTTGTATATTTACCAACATTAATTTTAAGTTTATATTATTTATTACTAACAAAGTATGGAGCTTGTATCTGAAAAAAAAATTATTATTAGTATTAAAATTTGGAGCTTATCATCGAACCCTAACAGACTAGCGTCCACAAGCAGCAACTATTAAAAATATGATGAATGTGGCTAGATTAAATTAAAGAGAAGTGGAATAGTAGTGGCGGTGTCAGAATATCCACTATTCCATATCGTCCTGAGTGTCATGAGAGGCGACAGAGTGAAACTAAAACAGGAGATGGACAACAGCATCTTACAGATAACACAAAATTATTTAAAAGAAAAACTGCATTGGCAAACCCGCCTGCCAAGCATGGCAACTATGGATAAATTGAGGGGAGGCCTATGTTCAGAAGTGAACTTTTATAGGCTGTAATGAATAAATGGATAGACGACCTATCTCTCAACCAGCAAGCATAACATTCCCAAGTCAAATTTACATCAGTATTGAGATAAATATTCACAGTGTAATATAGTGCGTCAATACGTAATTAGAACTTGCGAACTCACCCTAATTCCATTGTACCGCTCTCTTAAAAGTTAAAGCCTGGCTTCATCAGTTGAATGTAAACAGGAAAATAGAAATATCTTTTGATAAACAAGACACAATAAGATATATTAGGGATCATACTTTATTATGACAAGTGATATGATTTTGACGCGAGAGAACTGATAATTCTTTAAAAAGTATAAGCTCGATAAAAAAATATGGGCACAAATAAAATACTCAATTAAATTTTAAATAGAATGAATTTTTAGATACTTTGTTAATCGAGATTAAAAAAATTAATTTAATTGCCCGGAAAAATCTTTAAAGTTAGAGTTCTCATTTTTTTAAGCGCTACCCATATAATATTTTACGATAATATGAAAGGCATGTTATTGAATTAGAATCTCATCAGCTACATATTTATATATATATATATATATATATTTAGATTCTTTATTTCTTGATAATAAACAAAAACCTTTCAAATAAAGTAAATTTTATCCACTCCTTGCTTTATGCTGGACAAATATACAAGAGAGGAAATCCTCGCCTTAACCACTTACCTTCGCGGTAGAGTAATTCTCTTTACTGCATAGGAACAATGATCGATGTTATTCCTGGCCTCGAACACTACTCCGAAACCTCCTTGTCCCAAACACCTCAGCGGAGTGAAATCATTCTCGTATCTTCCAGAATATTCCGTGCCGTTATTAGAAGGCGGCCTTTCGTAATGCCTCTCCACCACAATGTACTCTTGGTTCATTGGTAACGGGGTGGGCGATCGGATTTTCGGGGCAAAGAACCTTGGCCAGATCATCAGATTCATCAGCAGGGCCGAACTTATCGCTATTAGTAGGACTTCCTTCCACCAGAACCAAAGCGAGTACACGTGCACGTGGACATGGTGGTGGTCAAATTGGTCGTCGCTGCTGTTCGGTGGCACAATTTCTGGACCGTCAAGTGAATTCTCCGACACTTGTACCGCTTGGTCGCATGTCTCTTGTAAATAGAGGAAGAAGCCGTGGTTTCCTGGAAGCAATGGATGCCTTCTCATCTTTTACACATGAATATAAAATCGACATAGACATAGTAGCGACAGTACTGTAATGGTTAATAAGGGTACGGAGTGTGAAACTAAAAAGTTGTGGGTTTGAATCCGCCATAACTTTCGTGAACATCTTGTAAAATAAAAGCATTTTGAGCTTACATAGAGGTAAAAATTAAAATAATTTATCTCATCATTTAGCTTTATCTCAAGTATTCCACTGGTTTACCACAAATAACTTGCTCTTGAATATCAACAAAGCGAAATACCTAAATACATACAAATATTTAAATTAGTGTTTTCCTTGACATCACTATTGAATCTCGCCTACAATGGAAACCTCACATTGAAGCCGACTAACACTAAAGGAAACTTAAGTTTTGCTAAGTATGCTGTTAAAAAATAGGGCTGTATGGAAATAGTTGAAATAAAGTAACCTTGCTTTATTTCAGCTATTTCCACAGTCTTATGCTTCGTAAAACTTGCGGTTCATTTTTGGGTAGATGCATAATTATTTATAACAAGATTCCTTGCAATAATTTCATCTGCCTGTAACTGATTTGCCTTAGCAAAAGTTAAATGCGCATAAAAACGTTCCATATTCTTATGACGAAAGGATATTATAAATTAGATTATTTAAAATATGAAAATGCATGGATATTGTGAGCTTTTTAACTTGTGTATATATTATTTTATAAGTGAAATTGTAACTGTTGGGAGGAGGAAAATAGACCACTGTAGGGTTTTTTTTGTATCTTAATATATAGTCTCCCCGCAGCAGGCACATGTTGAAGCTGACTTTCAAAAGTACTTTGTGAAAGCTAATTTTGTAGAAAAACTATTTTGATATTTTCTTTGATTAGTAATGTTAATAATGTTACTGGTATCTACGAGCTTGAGGTTCGTGACAATAAAAACTGCCGATATTCACTTTACACCAATTGAAACTTAAAAGACACTAATAATTAATCACACTGATTCACTTTATTTCGCTCCGAAGCTTCGCTTGTCTCGCCAAATTCAATACTGCCCCGACCGCGGCTTGCAGCGGCTTTAAATACACATTTTCCACATAAAACATCCAGAATATTCCAGTAAATACGGGCGCCGATTGACCAGGCGCAGAAAGTTCGAGTGTGGGGCTTCTAGAAAGCTTAGTTCTTCAATTCGATACTAGATGGCGCTGTTGGTTTAAAGATTAGTCATGGCATTTTCTGGAAATCTCTCCTCGCTCTGTTACCCGACACTAGATGGCGCTAGCGCCAGGTACCAGCCGTCAACTTAGGCGCGCAACACTGCCCCCTTCTAAGACATGCACGTCCCGAGCATTATCGGCCCCATAATAACGCACCAGGCGATCCACATGGACGATCTTAGGAGTCCCTCTTGCACCTTTCTGTATCCAGTAGGTTACATCGTTGATCCTGGTCACAATCCGGTACGGGCCGTCCCATTTAGCTTGAAGCTTAGGAGATTTCCCTTTGCTGCGGACTGGATTGTGCAACCACACTAGTGAACCTTCGTCGAACCCTTTGTTGTACATTTTGCGGTCGTACCGGGTTTTCATCTTCTCAGACATTTGCTGGCCCGATTGTCTGACGTGCTCATAAATGTCATTAATTTTGTTCCGCAAGTCATTTGCATAACCGGTTATACTGCGTGGGGCATCAGGTGGTATCCCGGTGATCAGGTCTGCAGGCAGCCGTAATTCTCTTCCAAAGTTTGCGAAAGCTGGTGTCACTGATGTACTTTCATGAACAGCGCTTCGATATGACAACAAAAACGGTTGTATGTGCTTGTCCCAATCTCGTTGCCGATTGTCTACAACTTTTGCTAGGTACCTCTCCAATTTCTGATTAAATCGTTCTACCATTCCATCAGATTGCGGGTGATAAGAAGTCGTTCTTGTTTTATGAGTACCCATAACTCGGCAAGTTTCCTGGAATATTTGAGACTCAAAATTGATCCTTGAATCTCTAAAGGTACTCCAAAACGACAGAAGACTTCATGAACTAGTTTATCTGCAACTGTTGAAGCTTCTTGATTTGGAATGGCGAAGACTTCTGGCCACTTAGTTAAGTAATCCATCACAACCATGAAATACTTGTTACCGCTTTCACTCTCCGGAAACGGCCCCGCCACGTCAATGGCTATTCTCTCCCATGGTGCACCAACATTGTACAACTTCAATGCACTTCTACTACGAGTCTGAGGTCCCTTTACAGCCGCACAACTTGTACATTTGCGACAGCAGTCCTCGACATCGTTTCGACAGTGGACACAATAAAACCGTTCCCGGAACTTCAGTAGAGTTCGTTTAACTCCCAGATGGCCTCCTGAACAATCATTATGGTACAGCTGTAGAACATCCGGTACTTTAGCTTTAGGGACAACCATTTGCAAATGACAGCTGTCTCCTCGAACATTTTCCCAATTTACGACACAGAACTCCATCCTGAAGCAGCAAGCTGTCCCAATGAGCCAAATAGCTTTTAGTGGTCGAACTCATCGCTGAGACGTCGCTCCACTTGGGCTTGGGAGCACTGGCTTTCATCCATTCCAGAATCGGCTTGATGTCCGGATCTTCCTGCTGTGCGTGTAGTAAGCTGTCCTTCCACTCGTTGCTGAGGTGGTCTGCCCTGAGCATACTCACGGATACCACTTCCTTACTCTCTTGCCTAGTACAATGTTTGCAATATTCAGGACAAGGTATTCTTGACAATGCATCTGCGTTGCCATGAGATTTCCCGCTGCGATGTTCGATCTCAAAGTCGTATTCCTGCAGTATTTCAATCCACCTCGCAACTTGTCCGTCTGGATTTTTAAACTGCAATAGCCATTTTAGTGCAGCATGGTCAGTTCGTAAGTGAAATTTTCGCCCCAGAAGATATTTGCTAAAATGCTGCAACGACTTTACCACAGCTAGCAATTCGCGTCTTGTGACACAATAGTTCCTTTCCGGTTTTGACACGACTTGCTGAAGTACGCTATCACAACCTCTCGATCACCGTTCCATTGAGACAACACACCGCCGAGTCCTGTATCACTTGCGTCTGTGTCAACTATAAATTCCTTGCCTGCATCAGGGTACCCTAATATAGGTGTTTTGCAAAGACGGTGCTTGAGCTCCTGGAATGCGATATCGCAACTTTCGTCCCAGCAGAAATGTCGCTTTTCCTCGGTTAGCTTGTGCAGAGGTTTGGCTATATCTGCAAAGTTCTTCACAAATCGCCGGTAATAGGAGCACAAACCCAAAAATGCTCTAACCTGCATCTTGTCTTTTGAAACCGGCCAATCCTTGACAGCGGCGATTTTCTCTGGATCCGTGCGGATACCTTCTTCCGATACTACATACCCCAAAAAGTTAACTTGCCGTTTGAATAGTGAACATTTCTTCGGACTCAACTTGAGGTTGGCACTCTGAATCTTCATGAGCACGCGTTCCAGGTTTTGAAGGTGTTCCTCAAACTTACGGCCTACGATGATGATGTCATCCAAGTAGACCAGAAAGGCATCGCCAATTAACCCGGTAAGTACAGGTTCCATCAACCTTTCAAACGTTGCTGGAGCATTGCACAACCCAAACGATTACAACATTACTTTAAATTGCCACAGACCCTTTCCCGTCGAGAACGCGGTTTTCTCCTTGTCCTTAGGGTCAATTTCAACTTGCCAGTAGCCACTTTTTAGTTCCAGCGTGCTAAACCACTTTACTCCTGTAAGCATGTCCAGCGTGTCATCAATTCTTGGCAAGGGATAGCTGTCCATCTTTGTAACATCATTTAGACGTTTTTACTCAACACAGAACCGAATGCTGCCGTCCTTCTTCTTTACCAGCACCACCAGTGAACACCACGGACTAGATGAAGGTTCAAACACCACTCACCACCCTCAATCATGGTTTCCACTTCCTTTTCACGTGCTACCGGCAATCTTCTTGGCCGCTGACGGATAGGCAATTCTTCTCCTGTGTTTATTTTGTGTTGAACCAAGCCAATCTTTCCTATGTCTGCATCGTTTGATGAGAATACATCGGCATACTTGAGTAACAACTTCTTCGCCTTGACCATTTCGTTCGAGGAGAGAACGCTGCGACAGTCTTCCAAAAGTGTCCTCGTTTGTGCATCCTTGCTGGGTGTCCCACTCGATACGATGTATCCAATCCACTTCCTCACAAGTACCAACCAGTGTGCCTTTTTCTATAATCTGTTCCTGGTCACAAAGGTGCAGCACACGTACTCTTGAGATGTCAGTGGTTCTGACCAAGGTTCGAGTTACTTTCTATGGAAGGTCAATGTTTACCCTTTCCACAAGTACACAACGGTAAGCTTGCCCAGGGTTTCGAGGAAAGCTAACCGGCACAATCGTTTCCGATCTCGGCGGAAGAACAATCTTCTTAATGCTGTACACGTTCCCTGGTTACGCATCTTCCATAAAAAGCTCCTCCTGTCCACATTTCAAAACACCTTGCTTAACGTCGATCCCACAACAATTATCCCTCATAGTCTAGGCCCAGGGTGCAGTCATCCATTATATCTGCCACGATGACATTATGCAGGTAGATCATGTTGCCTAGCTTTAACTACATCTCCTTCTCTCCACGGATGGGTATACGCTGACCGGTGGCTGTTACCAAATTAATGCGTTCTCGGCTGTATGCGGAGTCCCCAAGGAACTGACTTATAAGTTGGCAACTAACAACCGTACGAGAGGCTCCAGTGTCTATGGTCAGTTTAAAAGGCATTCCGTTGACCTTGCCCTTAATGATTAGACTGTTCCCATTATGGGTTTGTGAGATCGAGATCATTGGGGCTCTTTTAAGATCAGCCAGAACTGCGGGGCGGGTCTCCGCAGTTCTGGCTTTTACTCGTTTCCCTGCTGCTGCTGCTGGGTTGTGCTGTTGGCCGCACTACCCTGCTCCTGAGATCGTTCACCTTCCCTTTCTAGGGTTTGCTTAGGGCAGCTGGATCGAAGATGGCCCCTTGCCCCACAGCCATAGCACCTAGGGCTGTGCCCTTTATTGCGATCGCGAACTGCAGCTGCTGCAACCTCCCTGACGCGATGGGAACGATGATCCTGCCGCACGGCTTCCACCTCCTTGGGCCAAGGCGTCCTTAAGCATTTCGTGGTGCCAGAGCCTCAAAGCACAACAGTTCTTAATGACGCAGGTACAGACTGGTATGTTTTTCACACCTGCTTCTCCACCTCTAGAGTTACCATTGCTGCAGGTTTTCGTTGCTGCGTTGCACGCGATCTCTAAGCTACGCTCGAAAAACGTGTTCCAGGTGAGCGTCGCCATATCTAGCCTCCAATGCCTCAAGGAGCTGCTCGTAAGTCACTTATTTACCGAGAGCTTCTAGAACTGTTAAGGCCTGTTCGCGCAGTCCTAGTGTGAGAGCAGTCATGGCCTGATTATTCAGCCTCATAACAGCCTTCAACTGGATTTTGTAGGCCGCCCAGGAAAAAGTCCCGTCGAACGGCGGCACTTTGAATCCACGTACTGAAGGTGTTGTAGCTACTACGGGAGCTTTAGTTCCATCCCCAAGGTCGTCAAACGTTTTCTTCACGTCACCTCACGTTGTCACTTCACTTCACGATCACTCGGTCGATTTGGGTTGTAGCTTCCTTGATTTGGGTTTCAGCTTCGGACAGGCGGCAGTCACGTTGCGGTAGCAACCCTATCCTTCACCTCCCTTATCTCTTTCCCGAAGTTAGCGTGAATGTTACTCCTTCGCGAAGGAGCATCTGCTCTTCCTGTCGGCGGGCCTGTTCCTCCTGCTGCTCTTTCAACCAATGGGCCTGTTCCTCTGTCCGCCCCACAGCCGCTCCTCCAAACGACGAACCTGTTCCTCTTGTCGGCAATGCCTGTTCCTGCAGCATCACCATCAGAGCACCTAAGTCAGGTGCTGCAGATGTAGGAGTTACTGACGGGGCTGCAGCCGGCGGCTGGCCCTCCGACGTCTGCGGCGTTGCACCACCAAATCTTCTTTGGCCCTCCGACGTCTGCGGCATTGCACCACCAAATCTTCTTTGGTCTGTCTCATGCTGGCTTTGACTTCGGGTACAGACACACCCTCCCTTTCCTCCTTAGGTAAAATCGGCATGATTTTATCCCACTTCTTACACCAATTGTTACGAGCTTGAGGTTTGTGACAATAAAAACTGCCGATTGAATTACCAAAATTTACACTTTAATTCACTTTACACCAATTAAAACTTAAAAGACACTAATAATTAATCACTGATTCACTTTATTTCGCTCCGAAGCTTCGCTTGTCTCGCCACATTCAATACTGCCCCAACCGCGGCTTGCAGCGGCTTTAAGTACACATTTTCACCGAAACATCCAGAATATTCTAGTAAATACGGGCGCCGACTGACCAGGCGCAGAAAGTTCGAGTGTGAGGCTTCTAGAAAGCTTAGTTCTTCAATTCGATACTAGATGGCGCTGTTGGTTGAAAGATTAGTCATGGCATTTTCTGGAAAGCTCTCCTCGCTCTGTTACCCGACACTAACGATGGCGAATAACTAGCGATGGCGCTAGTGCAAGGTACCAGCCGTCAACTTAGGCGCGCAACACTATTTTCACTTAATTTTTTTATTTCGCTTGACAATCTAATATCTGTATAATATAGTCACCACACTGCAGCTATATTATGGTTGTAGCATGAATTGGTCGGCTCGACCGGGGAAGGAACAATGCAGCTCAATGCTGCTGTGTTTCATATGGTGAGTGTAGAGATTCAGTAACCCTTTTTATAAGAAACGAGGCATTCCATCTCAATCCTCAGGGCTGGCAACATATCTGCATTTTGACTTTAAATTGAAGAAAAATGTAGATGTCTATGGGCCACAACATCCACTTACCATCAGGTGGACTGTGTGCTCATTTGTCACCTTTATTCTATAATAATAAGGTATCTATAGGCCACAGCATCTACTCACCATCAGTTAGACTGTGTGCTCGTTTGTCACCCTATTCCATAAAAAAGATAAGTGACTTTTCCAAAAAAAAGGAACATCAATTATTTTCACACCTGTAAAATTTTATTCCTGTTGGAGTTAATGATGATATGATTATTCAATTTCACGGAGACCACGTGATTCACACTGCATAAATTCTCTATATAGATAAATTGGTGAAGGTAAAATTATTAATACCGAAATAAAAGGCTTAATAATGAATATCTCGAATTATTTCGCTCACCTGTCTGTCCTGGATTTCTGTAAAGTGCAACTAGTGATAGGGTGTTGGGATCGACATCTTGTAATGACAGGGCCGTGTTACTCTCGCTAATCAGAGGCATCGAGTGCTTCAGCTTCCAAGGGACTGGCTTTGTTGCCACCGAAGTTTCCAGTTTCTGCGTGTAGAGAATGCTTTCCTGGATATATAGCTGCAAAAACAACATAAAATAAAATACTGCTTGTTTGGCTACAGATTTCTACGACTCTTAAACTTTAGATCTAAGAAAGGATTGTTTTTAGAATTCAGAACATTTAGAAACCCTCTATAATAATAGTTTCCCTATATTGATAATATATGATAACCCCCCATCGTACGTTACTATTTAATATGTAAGGACAAATGTGGTTTATGAGAATTAAGCTCTGTACCCAAAGCGGGTACGACATTCGCCTTCGACCGTCATTCACTGTGAGACATACAGGTAGCCGCTATAATACTATAGGTTAGGAAATATTGCACTTGTTTAAGTGCTGAAGGAGTTTTCCTTATTTTGTTTTTCAGTAATAAGACTTAAAATGGTCAATAATGTACAAATGGTACAAATTCTTCTGGAAGCAAGTTATTAGGTGTCCCGCAGGACTCTATTTTGGTTATTTTTTTTTTGTTTCTTATATACATTATCGATCAATGTTACTACAAACGAGCACAAAATCCACCTAATGGTAAGTGGATGCTGTGGCCCATAGACATCCATGATTATCAATCAAATTGTTAATGCGTCGTCACCCCTGAGGACTAAGATGGAATGCCTTGTATCCAGTAAAAAGGTTCTCCGGTATTCTACTCTCACCATACGAAACACAGCAGCATTCAGCTGCTATTTTATGCTGGTATTCTGTGAGAGCGTGGTTCTACCTCAGTAGTTACAATTAAAATATAGCTGCAGCAGGGCTCTAACATGTAAATAAACGTAGCAGTATTATGTGTCGTTGAATTATTTTTCAAACTCAACATTATACGGCAGTTAGAGTATATAGTAGTTAGAGTATATAATAGTTCATTGCTTTACTGTAAAAAGTTTGATTACTAAGAACAAAGAAACTAAAGTTTATTAAATTAGCGGTTTGATTTGTTTTTTGTCAGTCACCAGCCCTTTTGTTGAAAAAAAATTTTGGTGTTTTTCAATGGTTATAACTGCTTATATATGCGTATGCCTTGCAAAAAACTTTAAGTCTAGCAAATTAAAATCCATTACAATTTGTACCATATTATATTGCATTGTCATCAAGTTCCAAGGTACATTTAAAGTTATTTCAACATCTTCAACTCATCGGTAGGTTATTTCAAAATGTACATCGAAGATACAAAAATAGTAAAAATTAATAAAAAAAATTTATAACGGTCGCATGCAATACTGAAGCACGAAGACTGAACTGACCCATTTATTTTGCTCAAATATTGGTAACATTTTGGATTCAAATGATGGACTCACGACGCAGCTTTTAAAAACATTGACTACTAAGTGACGCTATCGTAATAGTGGAAAATTAAAATTAATGAAGTCATTACGATATACACTCCATCACAGTTCTTAATACATGGCCATAGTTGTCATATTGGACAGGTAAATTGACAATCGATATTTTTAAATATATTAGAAAAAACTTAATTTACAAAGAACCCTTTGCAATTAAATGTTCTTTTTCTGACCAATTGTCTCTCTTAAGTACCACATTTTTATCTATTTTAGCCGTTACCTCCAATCCCATCCCACAATAAGGCAATACAACAAAATCAAAAACGTGATAATATTTGGCTTCTAGTAAAGTTTAATTAAGTGCTTTTCTTTTACATGCACATTTTGTGATTTGAGATGAGAACAGAGTAATTTAATAAAAGACTATTTAGAACATTAATTTGTATGTATAGGTTTGTCCACTAACCTGTCGATCGTGCACTCCGACGTACAGAGAGGGGGGGTGTAGGTTCGACACCGGCCAGCGCTTGCGCAGCCTCCCACAACACGTCCATGTGCTGTAGTGACCCTCCTTGTAATCTCCACATGCCTGCTACAGGAGCTTCAAGCTGAAAAATATTCTTCGTATTTATACTTTTAAATACTTTCGTTTCTCTAATCTATTAAAATATATAAGTTAATAGAAACGGATGTAACCTACAATGGAGATAAGTATATTCTTCACGGTGAATTTGATTACGACGATTTTGGCATACAGTGAGACTGTAGCTCAGGTAGGAATCGTTTTTAGCGTAGAATACTATAATACATACATAATAGAACGGGGGAGTGGGCGGAGCTGTGTATCCACTAAAATGTCACTAACACATCAATTCACACGTATAAATGTCAACACGAGATGTGTTTTGACGTTACAATCGTTTCCAAATTTCCCATGCAAATTATTTAGAAAATGCCAAATTGCACGCTATTTACAATTAAAATCTGTCAACACAGCGAATCGGGTTTGTGTAGTGATAATACGACGTTATTGCTTGTATGTGTACTCCCGGCGACGAGTATCGTCGTACAAAATAAGGTTGACAGCCATTCTATTGTGTATTAAAGTATTCTATGGTTTTTACATAGTAATTACTCCGCAACTATGTCATGTTTTTTCATTAAGATATTTTTATCTATAAGACAATAATCAATATATTTTTAATGTTCAATGACAAACAAAACTAAAATATTTAAATACATAAACAAGGAATACAATAGATGATATCTAATATTTATATTTAACGAACATATTATAAAATAAAGAAATATAGAAGGTATTATAGATTGATATGACTTAGGAACCTTCAAGAAAAGAGCGTACTCATTTTTAAAAGGCCCGCAACGCATCTGCAATTCCCCTGGTGTTGCAGTTGTTCATGGGGGGGCGGTTATCATTTACCATCAGGTGAGCCGTATACTTGTTTGCTCCCTTGTCTCCTATAAAAAAATTATCGTTCTACAAGCAATTGTCTCCAGACAATCTTTTTTATTTTTTTTAAATGTTTAGAAAATACAACTAATCTAAATGCCTAATGTCAAAACGAAGCCAACCACAATCCCCAGCGCACAAACTGGGACAATAACAGCACAATTTGTGTTTTACATAAATGTTAGCTCCAGTATATTATATATGGTGGTAGCATAAGAGAATTTATCACTCCATTACTTCTCATGGGTATTGCAAGAGGTCACTGCGGAAAATTCCAAAAAGATCTCATGGATTATTATCATCATATTTTATGGCATCTTGTGGTGTGGAATAAAATGAATTTTGCGGATTTATCGCGTTAAATTTTAATTTTTTTAATTCCTGACGTTTTTGGAGCTATACAGCACCCATAGTCACGGGAGAGACTGATGAGTTTGACGTCATAGTTAAGGAAGGCTATCTTCATCTTTATTGATTTTTGATCTTCAGTTGGGATCAAATTTTATCATTTATGTGATACCAAGAAGATGCATTCAACCATGTTTTCTAAAATTAGATTTTTTTTTAATTTCAATAGGCTCATCACGTCGACGTCAAACACCTCAATCCCCCATAACCATGGATGCTGTAAAGCGCTCGAAACGTCTAGAATAAAAAAAACGCTATAATCGCAAATTTAGTTTTATTCCATGGATGGCAAATGCGTCTATTTTAGAAATCATTATTTTTTCTTAATTAATACTAATCTTTTGTAACGTTTTAGCTAGGTGATTGTATTTCTAACCTTATAGCACATGATCATAATTCAAATTTTTCAATTTTAATTTTGTTGATACGCAGTGGTTTGGTCACCTACTTTTTGTTGCCACAGCGGCATTTTAGCGCCCGGGGTTCGAACTGCAATCACGCCTTCCGGCATTTCCACTGCCACGGAGACAGGACTAGGTGGAGAACTAGCGCCAACACACTCCCGACGACTTATAGCGAGTTGATGCTCTGCTACGCTGAAGTTCCATCTGAAAACGTAAACCTATTTAGTATGTTTCACATGTCATTAAAATTGTAAACAGTATTTATTGATAGATCAATGCCATAATAATATGTTAATGTAAAAAAAAATTGGAAGATATCAGTGCCATAGGTTTCTATTCCGTTCACCTGTGACACCCTACACTACACCCCATGTTTTCCAGACGGTAAAAGAAAACACCCAGTATAATTAAATATGGGTGTCGTAAGAATCTACAGAGGGGCATGAAACAGGAGATGGGCAGCTGCATACTTTTGCTCAACTCAAGGTAATACAAAATGCGGTTGCCAATTAGCTTGCCAAGCGTGGCAACTATGGCAAATTCATATGCATGAAGCAATCTATAAGATAGTCTATTCAGCAGTGAACTATTGTTAGACGGTAATGATTAAAAGACATTATAACCATTCATCATCATTGTCATCATTACAGCCCTTCACAAGTCCACTGCTGAACATAGGCCTCCCCCAAGGAATGCCACAAAGCACGGTCCTGAGCCACATGCATCCATTGACTTCTTGCATATCTTACCAGGTCGTCCCTCCATCTAGTGAGGGGTCGTCCTACACTACGCCTACTGGTCGGTTCTTTGAGCTATATGGCCGGCCCATTAACACTTCAGCTTACTAATCCGTTGGGCTATGTCGGTCACTCTGGTTCTACTGCTGATATCCTCACTTCTAACTTCTTCTTCTCTCTCCACAGTTCGCTGGGAGATCTTGAGCGTCCTCATAAGGCCAGCAGTGAAGGACCACGTCTGAGATCCATAAGTCATCACTGGCAACACGCACTGGTTTTACAATTTAGTTTTCTGGTTTTGAGGTATACCTGATGAGAAGATATGTTGTAATTTCCATTGATGTTAATACCGTATCCTTTGCAGCCCAGTAGCTTATAAACGTCTTCCAATGCAGCAGTGAAGAATTTTGGGGATATAACGTCACCCTGTCTTATATATACACACAACCTGATAACTATACAAATGATTCGTTAATATATAATTTCTTTGCCCGTAAAATACACAAATATGTCAAAAGTAATAAGGCAAAGTGGCTTGTCGACTCAGGTACTGTAACACATGAATGATTTTCTCAACCACATTGAGGGTGCTGTTTAAAAAAAAGAAAGAAAAGATGTTCATCTAACATGTATTAAGAAACGTTTGTATTAAGTGACACATCCCGATTCACCCTTGATGGGAACGCGAAATGTCCCATGTTGACAGCCAAAGTATCTGTAAGCTGCTACTACATTAAATTATTTTCTGTTTGATATTTTCATATTTTGTCACCAAACGGACTAAGTAGTCAAATTTAATTTTAAACTATGCACGTATTGTTTTTATACGTGGTAGAGCCACGCAACTATATTATGGTTGTAGCGTAAATGGATCAGCTCGACCAGGGTATATATCCACTTACCATCATGTGGACTGTGTGCTCGTTTGTCACTCTTGTGTTATAAAAATAAGTGACTAATGTTAGAACTTCTACTAATAGTCCATTTCTTCAAGTGGTTGTATTGTTGTTTTCAATGTGACAGATTTATAACTTTCCCAAAAATAGATTAAAATGAGCGATTCAGAAAATGTACCATCTGCAAAGAAAACAAATCTTCAAAAATTTCTGAATCGCTTAAAAAGAAAAAAACACAGGCTAATGTGCAGGTTTCCTATGTTTAGACCATTGAGCTATTATGTACTACGTACTAGAGGCGACACTGCATTCAGCTACTCTGTTCCACTCAACTGCGGTGCATGCACCGCACTTTAATCAGTCACTCGCGAGGCGCTTGTAGAGTTGTCACGTGTTGTGTAGATTTAAAAAAAAATCTCTTGACAAAAATATGTCCTCGTGTGCTTAGATATTGCACAAATAATTCAAGAAATGCCAGTAAAAACCAAGGAATTACTTTTCATCGGTTAATAAGATAATTAATCAATAAAAAAAGTATTATAGATTAATAATAAAACAAATTATTCCTAAGACGCCATCTCGTGTCATGGTATATAGATTATGAAATTAATATGTTCAGATGCGACATTTCTGTGGGTACTTAAGTATAGGACGAATATATTATTATACACATATTTTTTGTTGAAACATGTATAAGTTATTATAATTAGGCAAAATTTTTCATGTTTAAATCTGCTTATTATTCTTTTATTTTATTTTTAGGTTTCCACATCAAAGTCAATGTGGAATAAATTCGTCCATTTTTAACTCTCACGTGCCCAACATTTATGAACGACTCTTATTCTAATTTAAATAAATATATTTGTAATTTAAATGTTATGTTAATAAGTTTTGTTATCAATACATTTAGTATGTTCTTTTATATTTGAAATAGATACCTTTTAAAATACTCCGATAAAAATATCATTAAAATGTATTTGTGATATAATATTACGTAATATATTAAATAAGCCAATGTAATATACAAAATAAATAACAAAATTTAAATATTGTTCTCGATATAATTTACCTATTTAACAATATAATCTACTATTACCTACGGATCATTGTACCTATGTTTATTCTATGATTAAAAAAACAACCGCGCGAACACAGAGTAGCGCACATTTTTTGTTTGAAATAGCTGTTCTAGTACGAAAGTACATATTACTTTAAATGGTTTAGACACAAAAATTTCGTCCATTCGTTCAAATTACATTGAGCGTTTTGTCAAAAAGACTGGTACCTATAATTCATGACGGCCATAAAAACTACAAAAAAACTGTTATATTGTAGCTATGGAGTGTAGAAGTAGTGTTGCCAGGTGTCCCGATTTGCGCGGGACGTCCCGATTTTCAAGGGTCTGGTGACACGTCCCGATTTACCCTTGATTGGGACGCCAAATGTCCCGATTTTCACTAACCAGCAATAATGATTACATCTGTTAGCTACTACTACATTATAATATTTTTACTACGACATTCTCTCAGAGAAAAAAAAACACAAAAGTTTTAAACAGAATTATACTGCCCAACTAAACGCAAAAGCGGTATCTCAATGGAAGCGAGTTTCGACTTAGTTGACGTTATGTAAAAGTGTTTATCAAGTAATATTTATAATATAACATTGGGTCTATTTGTTATCACAATAATTGGAATATCAAAAATCTTTGTGTAAATACCTTATTCATGAGATACTGCTACATTGCTTAGTGAATTAAAGAATTAAAGTTTGAGTTACCGCTTTTTTGTTACCTCTTCTCCTACATGACTGTATATAAAAAGATATAAATCTTTTGTGTATGAAAAAATGTGTTATTTTAAAGAAAAAACTCAGTCAATATATGTTAAAAAAATCTTTTATTCATTAAATTTGAAATGGCATACATAATATATAGCAAAAGAAACGGGTTCTATTAAATTTAGTCAAATGATACAGGGAGATCTCTCCAAAAGGACATTCTATTTTGGGGTATAATATTTTGAAAGGATTTCAAAATATTTTCTTTTTTGCTTTTAGAAATGCCTTCCGGAGCAGTTTTCCTTTTTGGTGGTGGCAAAACTTGAGCTTTTAAAATTTTATTTCCGATTATGCTCGTAGTGATAGGGTCCTTATTGAATCCAGTTCTGTATGTCAGATCAAAACTGCCCCTGTTGACCTCTACTTCGACCATTTTATTAATATATGGACGCGGTGCAATTCGAGACAGTTTATACTGTGTCGTGTAATCTTCCCAGTCATAAAAATCTTGTAGAGTCATCTCTTTAGGTTTTACATTTTTTCCTGCAGTAGTAACTGCCTGAGAAAAGTCAGCAAAGTCATAAATTTTGTTTTTCATGCGCTTCATAGATAACTCCACCCTGTGGTGGAAACTGTCGGCAGACATAAAAGTGTGGCCTGGTTCGAAATATTTGATCATGATCTTGTCGGCGTTGATGTCATTTGAATTGACTACGTAAATTAAGAACGAAAAAAATGTCCAATTTTTGTTTTGTGACGAACAATTGTCGACCCACAGTATGATTTTCTTTTTTATCTCGATGAAAAATAAAAAAATGGAGGTATGCGCTTATGATTTCGGATTTGGAGCGTCCAAATAATCCTTCATACCATAGTACAGGAAAAACACTCAAACCTTTTCTGCCTTGACCAGTGGGCACGAAACTTTCATTATAAGCAACTATCCTGTGGGTGAAAATAGCAGTTTAGAACATGTCTATCCTGGGCAGCATGATAACTTTTTGTAAGTCGGCAGAATATACAACAGTACCAGTTTCATTTAGCTCACTGTCTAATTTATATTGTGCTCTCGACATAGTTGCCCGTTCATTATGACTTGCCCACTTTGTGCAACCTAAACAGCCTTCTTGGAGATTTTCTTTGGTGTGTGTATTGTCATGCAGACGGAATTCTTCACAGTCCTCACACTCTTCGTGGCCAAGCTTCACGAAAGATATATTTAATGCTGCGATCACTTCTCGGTATTTGTCGTAAGATACGCTGTGATAGGGATTTTTTTCTAAAAAGTCTCTGTGCATCGCATGAATTGTCAAATCACTGGGTAAGTATAAGCGATTGGGGGCGTGCTCACGCCTATAATGAGATATACTAGGCTCGAAGCTCATTATATGTTCCTTTATAGGATTTGAGTCAATCTTATTATGAGGAGCAGCTCCCAGTCTCCTATCTACTAGCGGTGCAACTGTCTCCTTGCAATTGGCCAAAGCAGTCTGTAAAGGTTTATCGTTAGATAGTTTGTAGCCCAAAGTTGTCAAGAAGAATGTTTTACATACTCCATACGATGTCCCATTCCCGTCTTTAAGTGAATAACCGTAGCTTGTTTTTTTCCTGTAGTCTTCTGATTCAGATCTTGTTACTGTTCTTTGTTTCACAGGTTTTGCTGAAGTGTGATGCAGCATAAATGCCTTCCTTTCTTTATCACCTAAATTCCAGAAGCTTTCATTTATAATTTTTCGTTGATCCTCTGATATATTCTGGATACATAGCCTTTTGCAGGAAGCTGGACAGGGTG